TAGCAAGGCAGTACACTGATCACAACCTAGCAAAAGAAAACATGCAGGTATAAGATATATAGCAGTGTACAACAAGAGAAAGTCAAGCAACCAGCAGGTGAGGCAGAGTGGGCACAAGCCCAAGAGCAGTGCAGAAACGCTGATGATCACCAGACCTAAGGGCCTTGGTGAAGACATCAGCAGTGTTGGCCCGAGAGGCCACAAAAGCAAGGCGCAGCTGACCACGCTGCTGCAGCTTACGTGCAAGAAAGTAGCGAAGAGCAATGTGCTTCGTTCGGTGCTCCAGTCTCTGCTCGTGACACAAGGCAAGCATTGCCTTGTTGTCGACGTACAGAACTGGAGGAGAACGAGGCCGCTCCCCCAAGTCGGTCAGCAAGTAGGTCAGCCAGCGTAGCTCCTGTGCAGCCATGGCCCCAGCATAGATCTCGGCCTCACAGCTGGAACCAAGCACAGAAGAAGAACGAGTGGACCTCCACGAGACAGAACCAGAGCCAAGACTGAAGGTGTAACCCTATGACGAACGCTGAGTCGTCTGGTCGTCGGCCCAAGAAGCGTCAGAGTGTCCTGTGAGGACCACCGAACCCTGTCCTCCAAGCACAAGCCCCATGCTCGATGTGCTGCACAAGTAACGCAGTACCCTCTTCGCAGCATCAAAGTGCACCTTTCGGTGTCTACCAGGTGCCACGTAGCGAGCCAGGAGGCTGAGTGGGTACGCGAGGTCAGGTCGTGTGCACGTCATCAGGTACATGAGGCAACCCACAAGCTCTAGGTACGGACCACTCGGCTCTACGGACTCGTCCGAAGGTGGAGCTGAGAGCGAGTGGCCGGTAGACAAAGGAGTGGGCTGTGGCGAGGACCACGTGAAGCGGAAGCGCTGAAGGACCTGGTGCACCATGTGTGACTGAGTCAGGGTGATGGTGCGCCGTGCTCTGTCCCGTGTGATCTGCAAGCCAAGATAGCTCCGCAGCTCACCCAGGTCAATGCAGGTGTGTCTCTCCTGCAGCTCCGCCTTCACTAGGGCCAGTGCCTCAGTGTCAGCAGTAGCAAAATCCAAGTCGTCGACATACACGAGGATGTAGAACGGTGGCAGAGTAGTGTCGGTGCGTAGAAACAGCGACGGGTCAGCAGTCGAAGGAGCAAACCCAAGAGACGCAAGTGTCGTCCTCAGTGTGTCGTGCCACTCACGGGGCGCCTGACGCAGGCCGTACACTGGTCGCCGTAGGCTCCACTGGGTACCCTCAGGAAACGACCCAGTGAAGCCCTGTGGACGGCGCAACCAGATGGCCTCGTGAAGGCTACCCTGCAAGAGAGCTGTCGAGAAGTCGAGGGAGTGAGCTGCAACGTGTAGCAACACCCGAAGAGTGGTCATCTTCGGGGTGAGGGAGAAGGTCTGAAAGAAGTCGACCCCCTCACGCTGGCTGAAGCCTCGAGCAACGTAACGTGCCTTGAAGGCAGGCGGAGAACCCGGCGGCCGCTTCACCCTGAAAATCCACATGCCACTGACGATGTTCGCCCCAGGTGGGGGAACCTCGTCGACGTAGGTGCCTGTGGACTTCCAGGAAGCCATCTCTGCGTCCATGGCTGTCTGCCACTGAGAGGAGTACTCACCCGAAATCGCCTCTCTGTAGGAGCGCGGGGTGGGGATGTCAAGTGCATCCGGGTCTCCCTCAGGGGCAAGCAGCATGGTCGCGTGATGGGGTGAAGCGGCAGCAAGGCACTCCAGCTCCTCCTGTCTGTCCTCAAGAACGTCACAGCCAAGGACAGTACAGCCAAGAGCAGTCTCACCCCCGAAGTACGGAGGACAGGCAGGGACAGGTTCAGAGACAAGACTCGCAAGGTAGTCTAGGCGGTACACAGCAGCAAAGTCAACGAGCTCAGCTACGAGGGCAGACGCAGCAGGAGACGAGAACGTAGGGTCCGTCACAACCGTAGCAAGAAGGCAAGTAACATTCGGACAGGACGCACGAGCAAGGTCAGACGGAGGGTCAGCAACGTCAGGCAGAGAGGACGCAGGAGGTAACGGTAGGACAATACGCTGAGGAACAGAGGAAGGACGGAGTGTCATATCGTGAGTGCCGTGGACAGCCGGAGCACGCGGACGACGAACACGAGGAACACGAGCACGGACAACAGCTCTAGGATCAGGCTCAAGGTCAAAGCTAGACTCAGGCTCTCGACGCTCAGGGGTGGACGCACGAGTCTCAGGCTCGTGACGCTAGGTCAGGGACTCTGACACCGCAGTGTAAGGAGCAGGAGCAGGCAGTGGGGAGTGCGGTAGCAGCGGCGGCTGTGACTGGTCCGCCGGTGGAAACAGTAACTCAGGAGTAGTACTAGCCACAAGGAAGCCAGTAGCACCTGGCGGAAGACTGAGAAGGTGGCGAAGAGCACTAGTAGCTCCCGTACCTCCAGCACGGGCAGCTCCTCCAGTACCCCCAGCAACACCTCCAACACCAGTAGCACCAGCACCTCCAGCACCACGAGCTCCGACAGCGCCAGCTCCTCGAGCACCAGTAGTACCTCCAGCACCTCCAGTGCCTCCAGCTCCAGCTCTAGCGCCTCCAGCACCAGTAGTACCTCCGGTACCTCTTGTGCCAGCAGCTCCAGTAGCACATCCTGCACCTCCAGCACCAGCAGTACCACCTGCTCTGGCAGATCCAGCACCTCCAGTACGAGCTCCTCCGAGACCAGTAGCTCCAGCACCTCCAAGACCTCCAGCGCCAACGCCTCCAGCACCAGCAGCACCAGCACCTCCAGGGTAAGCAGCTCCCACAGCTCCAGCACCAGTAGCACCAGCACCTCCAGTGCCAGTAGCTCCAGCACCTCCAGTAACAGTAGTACCTCCAGCACCAGCAGCTCCAGTACCTCCAGCTCCAGTACCTCCAGCACCGGCAGCACCTCCAGTACTAGCAGCTCCAGTACCTCCAGCACCAGCAGCAGCTCCAGTACCCCCAGCACCAGCAGCTCCAGTACCTCCTGCACCAGTAGCACCTCTAGTATCTCCAGTAGTAACTCCAGCACCTCCAGCACCAGCAGCACCTCCTGGAATAGTAGCTCCAGCACCAGCAGGACCGTACCCTCCACCACCAGGACTGCCTCGCAGAACGACCCACGCACGAATCGCCTGCGGCGAGAGCGTCTCAAGTAGAGCAGGCTGCGGTGGCTGTCCAGCTCCAGTACCTCTAGTAGTGGTAGCTCTAGCACCTCCAGCACTAGAAGCACCTCTAGTATCTCCAGCTCGAGCACCTCCAGCACCAGCAGCAGCTCCAGTACCTCCAGCACCAGTAGTACCTCTAGTACCTCCAGTAGGACCTCCAGGCCTAGTAGCTCCAGTACCTCCAGCTCCAGGACCTCCAGAAGGACTCGCAGCACCCCCAGAGTCAGCACCCGAAGTCTCAGCACCCCCAGAGTCAGCACCTTCAGGCTCAGCACCCTCAGTCCCAGCACCCTCAGTCTCAGCACCCTCAGTCACAGCACCCTCAGGCTCAGTACCCTCAGTCTCTGCTCCAGTGTCCACAGCAGTAGGCTGCAGAGACGGCGAAGACGGCAGAGGTGGGAACCCGGGGGGGGTAGCCAGACGAGGAGATCGGGCACCCCCAGACTCACCACCCCCAGTCCCAGCTCCAGTAGTCTCAGCTCCAGAGTCCACAGCAGCAGGCTGTGGAGGCGGCGAAGACGGCCGTGGCGGGAAACCCAGGGGGGTCGCCAAACGAGGAGTGCAGCGAGTGGTCGCCGTGTCGTCGGCTACGGCGTCACCCCCCTCAGGTGAGTCAGAGGAGTCAGAAGAGATCTCAACTGGCTCATCCAAGGGGGGTGGGTCTACCTGGGACACACCTGAGGGAGCAGGACCCTATGGGGGAAGGGGGTCTACCGGGGGGGGGACTGGTACCAGGAAGAGGGGTGCAAGGGGGACCGGGTGGGACGCGTGCGGGTGAAGTCGGTAGTAACAGACCGACTCGTTGAAGGTGACGTCCTGAGAGGACAGAACACGATGCGAGGCAGGGTGGTAGAACTGCCAGGGTGGGGCGTCGGTGGGGAAGCCCAGGAAGACACAGCGGAGAGTGCGAGGAGAGAGCTTGCTCGCTTTGGTATCACGAACAAGGGAGAGCGCGCCCCAGACCCGAAACGACGACGCATCACCAGGCTGTCCCGTCCAACGGAGTGTGGGCGAGGTCTCTGGAGCAGAGACACGGGGCCAGAGGTTGAGCTGATGCGCGGCGTATCGGACCGCAAACGGCCACAGGAAATGGGGAGCAGCCGCGGCGTATCGCACCTCCATCGTCCATGGCACTGCTCCCCATTTTCTGTGGCCGTTTGCAGTCCGATACGCTGCTGAACAACTCAACCTTTGGCCCCGTGTCTCCCACCCGGAGACCTCTCCCACTCTGTGGTGGATGGGCGAGGTTGGTGATGCTTCGCTGTTTTGGGTCTGGGGTGCCCTTTCGCTTGTTCGCGACCCCCCTGCGGGGAAGCTCTCTCCCTGCACTCTTTGCTGCGTCTTCCTTGGCTTCCCTACCGACGCCCCGGGCTGGCAGTTTTACCTCCCGGGTTCCCGTCGTGTTCTCTCCTTCCAGAACGTCACCTTTGACGAGTCTGTCTGTTTCTACCGTCTCCACCCCCACCGCAATTCCCCCGTGCCTCTCCCTCATCTCGCACTGGTCTCTGACCCCCCCCCCCCGGTAGCCCAACTCCCCCTGCGTGGTCCTGCTCCCTCAGGTGTGTCTGAGGTTGACCCGTCCCCCTTGGTTGAGCCAGCTGAGGTCTCCTCTGACACCTCTGGCCCAGCTGAGGGGGGTGATCCAACTCCTGCTGCCACCGTGACCCCTCGCCGCTCTGCGCGCTTGGCGGTCCCTCCTGGGTTTCCGCCTCGACCGTCTTCACCGCCGCCGCAGCCTGTCGCTGTGGACTCTGGTGCTACACGAGGTGGTACCACTGGGGGTGCTGGTTCTGGGGGTGCTGAGTGTCCTCTGGGTACAGGAGGTATTGGTCCTGGTGGTCCTGGTATGACTCGGCAGGAGGCTCTCTCGCCGGAGCGGCTTCGCGAGTGGGCTGTCCAGTGGGGCAGCCCTGGTGGTGGAGCTAGCCGTCTTCGAGCGGGAGGTGTTGGGACTACTGGAGCTGGAGGTGCTGGCACTGCTGGAGCTGGAGGTTCTGCTACTGGTGGTACTGGTGCACTTCGGCAGGAGACTCTCTCGCCGGAGCAGCTTTGTGAGTGGGCTGTCCAGTGGGGCAGCCCTAGTGGTGGAGCTAGCCGTGCTCGTCCTACTAGAGCTGGAGGTGTTGGGACTCCTGGTGCTGCTAGAGGTGCTGCTGCTGTGGGTGCTGCTGCGGGCTGTCCTAGTGGTGGCGCTGGACGCACTGGAGCTGCAGGTTCTGGAGGTGCTGGCCCTGGAGGTGCTAGTGCTGGTGTTCCTAGTACTGGAGACACAGGTGCTGCTGGAGGTACTGGAGGCGAAGGTGCTACTGGAGGTACAGGAGGTGCTGGCCCTGGAGGTGCTAGCATTGGTGGTCCTAGAGTTGGCCGTGCTGGAGGTACTGGTACTGGAGGTGGTGCTGACACTGGAGGTACTCCTGGAAGTACCGATGGAGGTACTGGAGTTAGTGGTGCTAGTCGGCAGGAGTCGCTCTCGCCGCTGCAGCTTCGCGAGTGGGCTGTCCGTTGGGGCAGTCCCAGTGGTGGAGCTGGTGGTACTGGTTTAGGGGGTGCTGTTGCTACTGGAACTGGATGTTCTGGGGGTGCGACTACTCAGCCGCAGCAGTCTGCGCTTCGTCACCTTCTCAATCTCCCGCCTGCTGCTATTGAGTTCCCAGTTGCTAGTTCTACTCCTCTGTTACTGTTCCCACCAACTGACAAGTCTCAGCCACAGCTACTGCATCACTCCCCACTGCCTACTTTTGATCTGTACACTGCGGTCACAGAGTCCCTCAGTGAGAGTAGAGAGCATGAGTCGCGTCCTGTTACGCCTGTGCGTACTCGTCGCGTTGCCTGTCCTCGTCCTCCACCTGTCCCACGCACGCACACCATGGCACTTCGTCCTTCCTCTGTTCCACACCGTATTGTCCTGCCGTCGCCTCCTGCGTCTTCTCTTCTGCACGTTCCTGACCCTGTTTCTGACGGTGTTCGTGCTGTCAGTCCGACTGTCACACGTCTTCTTGCTACGGTTGTGACTGACCCTTCCATTGAGTCTGCTGCTGCATCTGCCTAAGTTGCTGAGCTTGTTGACTTTGCTGCTTTATGCCGCCTTGAATACGCTGCGGGTCTTGTTTTTTACTCTTCCTGTCCTCTGTCCGTCGGGGGTGAGCTTGCCCTTGGCTGTGACGTCCTTGAGGACAGGCAGTTTGAGCTTGAGTGCCTAGCGGCCGCTTCACCTCAATTCGCGTCACGCTACTTTGCCCTGAGGGAGACCCGGATGCACTGGACATCCCGACCCCGCGTTCTTATGCAGACGCGATCACGGGTCCGTACTTCTCTCAGTGGCAGACAGCCATGGACGCAGGGATGGCTTCATGGAAGTCCACAGGCACCTACGTCGACTCAGTTTCCCCACCTGGGGCGAACATAGTCGATGGCATGCGGATATTCAGGGTGAAGCGACCACCGGGTTCTCCGCCTGCCTTCAAGGCGCGTTATGTTGCACGAGGCTTTAGTCAGCGTGAGGGGGTCGACTTCTTCCAGACCTTCTCCCCCACCCCGAAGATGACCACTCTTTGGGTGTTATTGCACGTTGCAGCACAGCGTGATTACGAGCTCCACTCCCTCGACCTCTCGACAACTTTCTTGCAGGGCAGCCTTCACGCGGCCATCTGGTTGCATTGCCATCGTGGCTTCACTGGGTCGTATCCTGAGGGTACTTAGTGGAGTCTCTGGCGACCATTCTACAATCTGCGTCAGGCGCCCCGTGAGTGGCATGACACACTGAGGACTACACTTGCAGCTCTTGGTTTCGCTCCCTCGACTGCTGACCCTTAACTGTTTCTACGTACAGACACTTCTCTACCGCCGTTCTACGTTCTTGTGTACATCGACGACTTCGATCTTGCTACTGCTGACACTGAGGGACCGGCCCTAGTGAAGGCGGAGCTCAGGAGAGACACACCTGCACTGACCTGGGTGAGTTGCGGAGCTATCTTGGCTTGCAGATCACCCGGGACAGAGCACGGTGCACCATCACCCTGACTCAGTCACACATGGTGCAGCAGATCCTTCAACGCTTCGGCTTCCAGTTCTCCTCGCCACATTCCACTCCCCTGTCTAAAGGCCACTCGCTCTCAGCTCCACCTTCGGATGAGTCCGTAGAGCCTAGTGGTCCGTACCCAGAGCTTGTGGGTTGCCTCATGTACCTGATGACGTGCACACGACCTGTCTGTGCGTACCCTCTCAGCCTCCTGGCTCGCTGCGTGGCTCCCGGTAGACACCAAAAGGTGCATTGGGAAGTTGCGAAGACGGTACTGCGTTACTTGTGCAGTACATCGGGCATGGGGCTTGTGCTTGGAGGACAGTCTAGTTGTTCTCACCGGTCATTCAGATGCTTCTTGGGCTAACGGCCAGACAATTCACTGGTCTACACAGGGGTACAGCTTCAGCCTCGGTGCTGGTTCTGTCTCGTGGAGGTCCACCCGCTCGTCTTCTGTACTTAGTTCAACCTGTGAGACCGAGATCTATGTTAGGGCTATGGCTGCACAGAAGCTCCGCTGGTTGCCCCACCTACTGACTGACTTTGGTGAGCGGCCTCGTTCTCCTCCGGTTCTGTACGTCGACAACAAGGCCATGATTGCCTTGTGTCAGGACCAGAGACTGGAGCACCAAACGAAGCACATTGCTCTTTGTTACTTCCTCACGCAAGAGCTGCAGCAGCGTAGTCAGCTTCGTCTTGCTTACGTGACCACACAGGCCAACACTGCTGATGTCTTCATCAAGGCCCTTGGGTCTAGTGATCATCAGCGTTTCTGCACTGCTCTTGGCTTGTGCCCACTCTGCCTCACCTGCTTGTCTCTTAATCTTGCCTTGCACTTGTTGTACTCTGATATATATGATTATGCCTGCATGTCTGCACTTGCTAGGTTGTGATCAGTGTACTGCAATTGCTATTATAAACTTTGCATGTGAACTGGTCTTGTGGCTGCTTTGTTGTGCTCGGAATGTGTGGTGATCTTGAGATCCACCCTGAGCTTTACTTTGCTTCCCTTCTGACTGGTCTTGTGACCATTGCTTGCTCTGGCTATCCCCCACTTCGCCTATGAAGGTGTGTCAAAACATATGTTTGTATGTTTCATTAGGCTGTAGTGGGTTTAGTCCTAGGGGGTACACCAATCTTCTCGACATCCTTCTTGTACCCCTCCCTTTGACCTAATCGACCATCCTTAATCTTAACTGTAAGCGCGTGCAGCCACGACTACGCCTAGCACCTAGGCCGACCGCCGTCCTTCGCCATGGCAGAACATATCGACCTTACGAGCCATACGCAAAAGCGCCTGGATGAATTGACACGCTAACTGCACGAATGCACCGAGAAAATTGTGACGCTAAAGGCAGAATGCACGTCGCTACAAAACAACATTGCACGAGCGCAACAAGCACAGTCACAAACGCAAGGGACAGCAGCACAAGGAGCATCATCTATCGGGTAATATGAGAGTGTGGGATAGCACTTGAGCGCTTCTAGTGATGGCGTCTCACGCAACGACGTTCGCGATAACCACGGGACGACACTCCCCGGGGCGACGAATGCGGGAGGGAGTCAGCGTCGCGTCAACATTTCGACACCGATCGACGAGTTGGCACTCCCTTCACCAATGCCCCTCAAGTCACCGCGTCCGCCATGGTTCGACCCATGTCAACAGGGTGCTCCGACGCTTCAGGCGTGGATCTTCATGATGAATGTTTTTTTCGACGTGAACTACGTCTCGTCGGATGCGGCGAAAATTCACTACGCCATGTCGTTACTACAGGACCCGCCATGAATTGGTGGCGTGTCACTGTAACCAAGCCGAGTGACTATGAGGCACTACTTCCACAGGTTGGACCAACCGGACCATGGGCACCGTCGTATTCGCACGCCAGAAGCTCTGCACTTGGCGCCAGCTCGGTTCCGTCCAGGACTACACCAGCGGGTTTCTGGCACTGTGTGAGCAAGTGGGGGACATTGCGCAAGAGATCTTGCTATGCAACGATACCGAATTCAGCGACATACTCGCAATGGCAGAAAAGTTAGAGTTCCTCCGCCGCCCGAGACCGGGATCCTACAATAACAGCAACTAGGGTCACTGAGCTCATGGGACGACTGAGCACGCCACGATACGTGCCATCGCCATGAACACTCTTGCAGCACCATTCAAAGGGCTCTACTTCGCGTGCAATCGGCCGGGGCACCGCAAGAGCGAATGCCCGGAAAACGCTAAGGGGAAGGAGGGAGCAGAGCAGCAGAAACAGACAGAGCAGTAGGGAAATGATGGAAGTCAGTAGCAGACGCCCCCCCTACTGACAGGTCACGTTGCTCGGCCGACCCAACCAACCCTCACCGAGTGACAGTGTTGATCTATGCGGACGACCACACCCGGCTGAACAAGGAGGGTTCAACGGAAGGTAGTCCCAGACTGCTTAGCGAGAAAACCCACACTGACTTAGTTAAAATCTCTGTAGATGGGGTGGCTGACCATAGTTCAATACATAGTGCCACTGCACAAAGAACTGAATTTACATCGGTGCTTACCTGAGATTGATGGACTACTGGTCGACGGCACGCCACCATTGATACGAGAACGCGTGGACCAAGTTCGGATCCGTTGTAGGGGTAACTTCATATTCACCCAGGAAATCCTGGCTATGACCCTCGACGGGACTGGCATTGTACTTGGTCGTGATTGGCTACGACGACACAACCTACGAATAGACTGGACGATGGGTGACTGCACCGTGCGGGTCAATGGTAACAACATCACCCTACCTCATTAGAGCTCACCTGGGTCTTCGTCGGTTCGTATCAAAGCCATCACGATGAAACGCGCCATTGAGGCAAGAGCTAACATATACGCGGTTGACATCCAGGCAGCCGAGGCAGAAGACAAGCCGAGCCATTTATAGAAAGTGCTCGCCAACGTACCGGATGACCTGGCGGGATTTTTCCAGACGACCTACCAGAGGGACTGCCACCTCAGCGACCGCAAGACCATAGTATAGAGTTAGAGCTGGAGGCATAGCCTATAGCACAGCGACAGTTCAGAAAGACCCAACCCGAAATAGATGAACAGAGGAAGCAGCTGGATTACCTTCTCGAGAAGAAGTTTATTCGCCCTAGTGTGTCACCATTCGCAACACCAATTCTATTCACACCGAAAAAGGACGGGGGGATTTTCATGTGCATCGAATATCGCGCACTGAACAGAGTTACAATAAAGTGTCATTACCCCATCCCGCGAGCAGACGAACTCATCAACCAACTTCGCACAGCCAGCGTTTTCTCATAAGTCGACCTCCGAAAAGGTTACCATCATATTCGCGTAAACCCATCCGACTGCCTGAAAACCACCTTCCGCGCTCGCTACGGTTCCTTCGACTACATTATCATGCCCTTCGGACTGACCAACATCCCCGCCACTTTCCAGATGACCATGAATGAAGCATTTCGACCACTTTTAGATAAGTGTGTGATCGTCTATTTAGACGACATACTGATCTACAGACCCAGCAAGGCACAGCATCTACAGGACATTGAAGCGGTTTTTAAGATACTGGGGGAAATTTGGCTATTGACGAAAGCCTCTAAGTGTGAGTTTCTACAGGACAGACTGGAGTTTTTTGGGGCACGTTATTTCAACTAACGGAGTAGAAATAGACCCAAAAAAATATCGCGACGATTCAAGCCTGGCACGCGCCGACAAATCTGACAGAGTTGCAGAGTT